CACTGAATCGCCCTTTTGCTGCTAGTTGTCCAAGAGGTCCATATGTGCAGGGCATAATATTTCAGTACCGACAGTGTACGATGCTTCATGGGATGGCATTCCTTATGTGCTGTTGCATAAATATCATAAATTGTTGTTCGTAGATTCATTCGGTAGTACATGAGAAGCACCAACTCCTGAAACATCATAATGGTACGAGGCACCATTAGTAAACAAAATAATGTGAAATACATCTTTTCTATACTCAAATACCGTTTAACCTACGCCTGCTTAGATGGTCACTCTAGGCAACTAAGAGTTAGGGCAATACGTTGTGAAATATGATCTTTTTGCATTCATTCGTTATTACCCAGTGTAGTAATCAGTACAACTGATTTCCATTTGTTTATTGGTTCGATAATCTAAGCGCTAACATGATTGGTTGGTATATGCAGTCTTATTTGGTAAATGGCTAAAAACTTCAGTGATCTCCATTTGTGCGGATGTTGATGTTACATATAACATTTTGCAGAAAAACCTTTTGATCAAACATTGTATCGTAAGAAATTACTGTATCACATAGTTGGGTATTGTCCATGTTTCGTTAAATCGAAGTTTGCTGCAAGCAGATCCTTCCAGCAAAGAGTTAATAACAAACTGACATTGTTTTAAATAAATTTTTGCATTTCCTCTGCTAGAAACCAGGCAGTTTAATATATTTTCCCAAAATAAACCGCGCGCTTTGTTTAAGTTTGTGGTACTGCGTGTTCCGTTTACGAAAAGTCTGACTTTTAAAATTCTGTCGTTCATGACAGTTACAATTTGACTTTGCATTTTGATGAAACTCTGTTCCTCAATAGTTTGAGTACTACTAAGGCTATGTATACTTGTGGCCGTTTGCCGCTTATGCACTTATGTTGACGTTGCTGTGACCGCAATGTGTCCTCTATCCAGATCCTGTAAGTAGCATCGTAGTGTTTACTTCGCTATTAAAGTTCATAACCGTTTTCGTTATCACCACGTCGAAACACTATTGAGCAGAATTTGTGCAGACTATTGGCAGATTCCAGCCATACTCCGAAGTTGTTAGCCTCACTGCGTAATGAAACTACTCTACCTGTTCGAACAACTACCGTTATACTGGTTAAGATATTAACGATATAAGATTTTTCAAGATATTAATGACTTTTACTATCATCGTCATTATTAGCAACCGATGCCGCATTGCACACCACTTTCATAACTAGTTTTTAAAGTTATATAAAATTTCGGTAGGTTTCTGGACTCGACCAGTCCAGAAGTACTGCGGAATGAGGTTCAGGATATGGCAACGGTAGCGTTTCAATGTGTTGACTCATCCATCTGCCGTAGGCGTGTTTTTCTCTATGATAGGCATGTCTTCTCCCGGTCATTCTGACAGTCTGCACATTCCATTGTGGTATTTCTCAATTTAGAGATTGAGTAGCTCACAAGCAAGCGTTTTTCGGATTGTTGCATTCAGAATCTTGCCAAGTCTCTTCACGTCATCAGGCAGACGCCTTTGCCAGATCAAGCTTCAGAGGGGCAAGTAACCGATGCGGATGTTGGCACTGATGACAAAATCTGGCCATCTGATGTGGCCGAGGTGGAGGGATCTCGGACGAAGAACCTCCCCTATGGCCAGGTCTTTGGACCGTCGTTCGACTAAACTTTGGTAGTATCATTTGCTTCTGAAGGTCTGAACGGCAGATTCATCGTGAAAATGCCATTCAGTGCTAGAGTGTATAGAATAAATGCCGAAAGAATTCGTGGTTTCACTTTTGGCTGATTATTACATTGGATAGTCAGCTAGCTAGCAGTTGGATCAAGGAACGCTTTCATAGGATATCATGGCAGTGACCTCGTCTATTCTGGCATAACCATACTAAAATACCATGCTGTACCTGCTGTCCACAAGTTATCGAACTTACCAGCCGCCGAACTAATGTGGAGTTAATTCCTTGCTCAAGGGAATTCTCGGTGGAGACTAAATTTGTCCTTTAATCGGATTCGAGCAATGCACCGCCGAAATTCAGTGCTGATTTCTTAGGCACTGTGCTACGGCGCCACTGATGTTAGGGTTATTTTTTTATCTGTGACGTCCTGATTGAAGGGGATTTGGGGGATCGGTCTGGATATAACGATTTACGCAAGAGTCAGATCCTAGAAATATTCAGTGCATTCAAAATTTCGGTTCTGGTTTTCGAACTAGTTGCGTAACTGTCAGAATAGTAAGAAAGAAAGGTTTTTCACGGTTAGAATGTCCCTTATTTTTCATCTTAGGTCGGATAAATTATTCCATATACTGTGTTATGTTTGCCACATAGTGGTAAGAAATTTTTGACCGCAGCATCGGTGATAAACCCCGAGCCGTTGCATCAGCAACTGGCACCCATACGGTGTATGTAGCTTAAACTGAAACTGACACCTCAGTGACCGTGAGCATTTTTTTCATCTCATTTTTCAGGAGGCAAGAGGCAAATATAAACAGGGGTGCATGAAACACCAATCTTTCACTCTTTTTGAACAAAACCATTCGTTTATGTCAAATTCAGCTGCCCATTCTGTATATTTTAGTATTTATTCTACATTTTATTCACTATAGCTGTCCCGCGCTGTTGTCAGGCTTCACTATAATCGGTTCCGTATTTTCACGCTGAGATAACGTAAATATGCAAAATATATATGATGACTAAACTTTTATGACAACTGAATTGATGATATGTAAAGGTGAAATACTGCCAGGCGTTACCTTTCAATGTTCTGAATTTTTTCAAAAGTTTGTTATGTTTCTTCGCTGTGCTGACTAGTATTCTTGACAGTAATGACTTACATAACGTTTCAAACGCTTGTGCACACGTAGTTAGATTGCATACTTAAATTTTTGACAATCACTCGGAAAGAACATTGTGTTGATGATAGAACTTGTCATCCAGATTTGTCTTGGCCAGGCATGTTGATGATGCGATGACCGCGTCCACAAAGTATTACTAGTTGCTAAAGTTGGAGGGAAGGAAAGCAAAGTTTGTAACCGTTAGAATATCGATCCTCATTACACATTCATGGTGGAGTCATTCTGGCACTTGTTTTCATGAACTGAGTGTTGGGGCGCTGATTTTCATTTCCATGCCCTCAATCACTTGCGACGTATTTTAAAGGCAGAGTCGAGCAGTCGTGCAGCTATGTGGAAAACAATGTGTTGTCTTCTGTTTCTTTCCCACTTAGTGGTGCTCATTTATCAACCTTGAAAGGAAGATCGGCG